AGTAAACAGGGAGAGAAAGATAAGAAAATATGAAACGAAAAGAACTTTTGAACGCGGTTGATATCTCGATGTAGAAGCCTATTATTTAATTTCACCCCCACCTGGTAATCAAATAACCCTCGCTGAGAAGTAAAAATAGGCGAAAGAAAGAAAAAACTACATTAAAACGAATTTCCGACAGGTTTTCAATTCGTTCAGCTTGTTGTGTTGGGGCGCGTTCTTCCTGCCACTGCTGTCGCGAAGTATGAACGCTGCCTAAGAGTGTGGCGATTCAAAAGCTGAGGCCGCATTCAAATTAGATGAGTAATGCGAGTCACAATCAGATAATTATAACAAAGTAGCAAGTAACCCATTAGTGCTCAAAGCGAAAAGGAAGAGTGGTTGCACGAGATCTCACTTGTTGGTATTGGCAGTTTTCCCTTATCACATCATTCTCACCATTCGAAGTGAGAGAGTTGGTAGCGGAACAACCGCACCATCAGGCACCCATTAGAAATGGAGGTGGGCGTCGTGGTCGCCAGTTGGGGCGGCTAACAATTCACTATCCTCTCGCCTTTTTGAGATTCAAAACTAGTCATTCTGCTTATTGGGAGGATTATGACTAGAGAGGGCGGTGAACAACAAATGAACGTGGGGGCTGCATTTAAGCCTAACTTTGAAAGAATGGGGTTGACAGTTCTCCCATTTTACTGACGTCATGTTTGTCGTTCACTATTCCACAGAGAGTCTTCTAAATTCCATCCATTACCTATAGAGCAGAGAATAAGAAATAGAACACCTTATAGGAAATAAGGGAATATGTGAGTTTCATACAATATCAATGTTATAGGCATGAGGCACGATAACTGGTTTTGGTCTGAAATGGTAGCAGCGGTGCTACATAGCAAAACAGCGTAAAAGCGAAGAAAAACGGCCGAAATTCCGCGAAAAAACGCTCAGTTCCACACGACTTCGGAAGCATTTTCGGGCGAGCGTCATGCCAGTTACTGGTACGGTAGATACGGCTGCATGTATGCACTGTATACACATGCAGCACCGCGGCCGCTTCATATCAATCTTCTCTTCATTTTATTCGCAAAAAAGCGATGCGGGCATCAGCATTGGTCAGACACATATGGACGGGCTAGTCAGTATGTTGCAGCTTGATCGGGCGCTGCAAAGGTACCATTCTAGGGAAAGGCGCCATGCAGCGGCTGCTCAGGCAGGGTGCAGCATCGTGATGTATGGAAATGGCTGTGTCAGTACGACCTCCCCCCCCGGAAAAGGACTCTGTTACGATTCTCTCCCCTTTTCGGCTCCAGTGGATTACTGTGACGAGAATATTCAGATTATGGTTATGATTATGATTTACTATCGGTTAGCAAACAAACAGAACAACACAGATTATATAGCTTGGTGACCTATTATATTTTCTTCGGCCCAACGCCCTTCGGTTCCAAGTAAGCGAGAGTTTTTCCAACGCCCTTCGATTCCACGTGCTGGCACCCAATCCTGTAGCAGTACGAAGTTTCCAAGATGGTACAGGCGACGACATGAAGGCAGGATATTCTCCTCGAGTTGATGTAGTTGGATGTAACCGTCAGCGCTCACTTCCAGTCAGTTCCTCGAAAGAAATATCGGCTCTCATTCGAGGAGCTTCCGGCCCATACCATCAACTCCATACAAGAAGTTTTGCAGCTGTTTGATTTTTCCAGCACTTCAGAATACCCTGTTGAACTCCTGGAGAGGCAGTCCAGGGTCTCGAGTATAAACACGACTTGATCTCAGTGCTGGCAGGGAACTTCAGGGTCCTGGCTGTACCAGAAACTCTTGTAGACAACGTTTAATGGCAAGTTTTCGAATAATTTCTTGTCATATCTTGGACAGTGTGACAACGGAACTGTGCCCAAGCAAAGCCCATCTCAACTCTGGTTCTCTAGCTCCCACAGTAAATGTTTCGTTCTACTTCATTGTATGACTTCACTAATGCAGCTAGGTTTTGTGAAAAAATTATTTCCAGGTTGGAAAGTCGTAGTTGTGAACGTGACCAACTACATACAATTACGCCTATTCTACCTTTCGAGGCGATGGGGCCAACAACTCGAACGTTGTACCACATCCATTTAGAGTTTACTTTAGCGAACTTTGAAAGCCCTTTGTATGTATACTATATCCTAGGGATCTCAGAAAGTATGGGCCAACACAATATTGTGGACTTTTGCTAAATTCACAAAAGAGAAGGAGATTTCACGTGTTCAGCGAGAGCCGAACAAACTTCGGAGCCGCATTATCGAAGGACATTAATGATAAGCAGTGTTCCTAAGGCTGCGTTTATACTTTGCGGCAGCGTAGCGTAGCGCTTCCAGCGTACGCCAGCGGCAGTGTCGGGGAAAGGATAGATATCGATCTAGCGTTCCCAGCGTCACCAGCGTACGCTAGCGTAGCGAGGGCACGGGAAGCATAGCTATCGATCTAGCGCTCCCAGCGTTTCACTAGCGTTTCGCTAGCGCTTGCAGCGACGGGGCTAGAGAGGGGCTAGAGAGTATTGAAGAGTAGGAGAGTACAAAATACTCTCCTACTCTTCTATACTCTCTAGCCCCTCTCTAGCCCCGTCGCTGCAAGCGCTAGTGAAACGCTGGGAACGCTAGATCGATATCTATCCTTTCCCCGACACTGCCGCTGGCGTACGCTGGAAGCGCTACGCTACGCTGCCGCAAAGTATAAACGCAGCCTATCTGGGATGAAGGGTCTGATGGCGGCATGATTAAGGTCTTGTCCTTCGCGGGCACTTGAGTGCTTCAGAGGGGGTGGCTTTGTGCCTGTGGCAGTTGGCAGAGGACCGCAGTTGATGGAGAGTAGGCTGGCGCGACGCCAACATCCCCCAAGCTCCTGTATTTACGGCGAGTAGGTCTCGCATTATCTTGTTATGGTGTTGGGGAGTGTAGGGGGCTGAATTTCGCCTGTTCTTCTCCTGTTGTTGGAGGGAGCAGGCGACAACTGGCGATACAACAGGAGACAGCTTAGCGGAAAACGAGCTAGCACCCGCTGAGCCCAGGCACCCTGGCAAGCCACAGCAATGCTGCGAGATTTGAACCGTATCCGACAGGGTCTCCTTTTTTTTGGGAGAATGTTCATCCCTTCCATAGCTCTCCGACAATTTTTTTAAGCTTCAGTTGCTTGGTGTTATCCTATGCTCTATAATACTGGTCGTCTCAAATACCTTTCTTATGTTGGAATCAGTCACAGCGATCGTCACAGGACAGGTATGAACAACTTAGAGTATTCTTGAAAATAAACTGCACGCTCACACCGTGAAGGTCCTTCCTATGTGAGGTGAATGAAGTAGCTGGTGGGATGGGGATGGATGGAGAGCTGAGAGAAGTTTCCCATGTCTCCACACTACAGGGGGGAGGGTGCAATAAAAAATACACACTTTAGGGGGGGGGGCAATAAAAAAGACACTTTGGCCGAGTCACATATCAGCAAAGTTTTCGCAGCCCAGATAGAAGACGTGGATACGAGTACCAGGGCGGAAGATACCCAAGATGTTCCTCGATAAGCAGGAGCAGGCCCTCGTCCATCACCTTCATGTACACCAAAATATGAAGCCATCTGCAGTCGCAGCCTGACTGGAGAAGGCCTATGAATTCACGCCACTTCCAGGCAGATGCAAAACTTCTTGTATGGATCACCCTTGATCTGGAAGACATTCAACATCGAGCAACCTCGCTATGGCTCAAGATGTGTTCTTCACCGCAGTCGCCAAGGCGCGGGTTGATGGTATGGACCGGAAGTTCCTGGAATGGGAAGACCGATATTTTCTTCGTGGACCCCGACTGAAAGTGAGCGCGTCTGTTACATCCATCAACTCGACGAAAATATTCTGCCTTCATGTCGTGCCTGTACCATCTTGGAAACTTTGTACTGCTACAGGATTGGGTGCCAGCACGTGGAATCGAAGGGCGTTGGAGAAACTCTCGCCTTACTTGGAAACGTAGGGCGTTGAGGATCTGGTGGAAATGTAATAACCAAACCAGCGCCCCTAAACCTTCTCGATTACCGGGTTCAGAAGGAGCTCAACAGGGTGGTCTGCAGTGGCGGAGAAATCAACGACCTCGCTGAACTCAGGCACCGAATCACGGTCGCGTGGCAGAATCTCTCGATGGCGTTCGTCCAGAAGGCTGCGGCGGAGTTTCTAGCTAAAGTGTAAGTTATAGCGTATTGGAAGTCGGGGAAGAAAACTGTCTTTTTATCCCTCCCCTGTAGGTCATGTCCCCCACTGTTTGGAACGATAACATCGTAATCTACGAAAGCAACAAGATGAAAGAAATGACTTACGCTTTAATTCGCATCTGAGAGTGTTCCTTATTGTACCATCACATCGCATCGCCTAGTGTTACCTATTTCTTCTTCACATTCTACCGCTCTCTGAAATGCTTTGCTCCCAGTACAATAATCAGAGAAGGCTGTGCAGCGTATTCTAGATAGCTCCTGAAATGAACGCAGTGGTCCTATCGGTTATGTTAGGATGGAACGATTCTCAAAACTGTTCTCATGATTATATGCTGCAGAAGGGGATTGGCATCGTCGAAGGTGAGTCGTCATTAATTTTGGAAAACCCATTTCGCGATAAGAGAGAGGGAGGAGACTAGTAATGGATGGACCTTCCTCACTGTTCCGCCCATACTGTAGAGAAGGGCGTCCTTATGAGGAAGGCACAATGGTTCTAAATCTCCACCCATCTAGTGCTGTTGGAATGTTTCTTTAATACTTTTTTTTGCTTCTTCCTGACATTTATAGGTGCTAGAATTTAGGTACTAGCCATGGATATGCTTAATGACCTTGCGACCACGTATGTTGCCTATCATATATGCCACCATCGGATCGGTCTATTGGAAATACGCCGACCCCGTGGGAGGAAATGCTCGTCTGGTTGGTATTTCCTCAGCTTCAAGCACCATCCTAGTTGCCCACAGCGTGACGTCAGATTCTGAATTTCCTTGTAATCTATGCTTAAATGCGGTCACCCATATTCCGGCAGTTTAGCCCTGGTTAGTTATCCTCTAGTGTGTTTTGTGACTTGCGCCAGGCCGTGCTCACGACGTCACGCTGTTTGGTGCTAGTATCAACCCAGATGTCTCGCTACATTTGGGAAGGTCGGAGAAGTGCAGAAGAACCTTCCGCGATAATCGGATCGGACGAGAGACCGGAACTCTACATCCCGTAGGTAGAGAGGAGATCGCGCTAATAGAAGAGACACAGTGAACGCAAATTTCCACCCATTCCTTTGCTCACCCTATTATCGCGGGGAGCGTCGTTAAGAGAGGTGAACCACGATGGCTGGGGACGAGCGGTTGTTGCCAACGTCGAAGGGCTGCGGTAGGGCGTTTGGCCACATTCCATTCACTCCTTCCGCCAATGACGTTGGCAGCAAACGCCCGCCCAGCCATCGTGCTCACTTCCTTCGAGAGAATCAAATTTTAGCGCTATGATCGCCGTTTCCTGGCTTTGATACGCTACAAAACACATACCACGGCTGGTTGGTGTGCAAGTCAGAAAGGATCAACTTTCACGAGTGCTGAAAATCACCATTGATCACGGTCCTCGAATACGGTAAGTAGCGCTCTTGTTGAGAAAACGCTTGTGAACGATGGTGGGTCACACTATGTCAACTCTTCCTCTTGTCCTGCAATGGATTCTGTCGATGATGGGCAGTTTCACATCCGGTGGGTTAACTCTTTCCCACCTCGAAAGAACGCGAGGAGAGGATGAAAGAATGGAGTCTTCGCTGTTGTCAAACATTCTACTTCCATTCAGAATGGCAGGGTTACTGAATTCGATCTGCCCGGAAAGGCAGATAATTAACTGGGGATTTTGGCCCAGCCCTTGCGACCAGAGCACGCCAGTGCTTGTGATCATTTCCTGAAAAATACGACCTCCCGCCCCCCCTGTGCATTGCAAACTGACATAGGGTGTTTTGGCGCCGGCGCCAGGCGATCTTGGTCCAAGCAGATGTGATATTCGTTTCAGGAGGTCGAAATACCCCCGTAAGCAAATTTTCAGCCTAATCTGCACTTGTTAAAAAAGTCGGTGAAAAACCGGCCTGATTTCGGACTTTCGCCTAAAGCCTACATCTCGGAAAAAATGCCGGACAAGTTTTACGGGCGCAAGTCGTCCAAAGGATCACAACGGAGAGAATTTCTAGAAAAGGATGTTTTTGAAACCACACAACACAGGTAACAAGAGCCAGCTCAGTGCTGCAAATTCCTGCTTTCTGCTCACTGAAAGGTTTATTGCCAAAGAGGTGTGCTTAAGCGAGGGGTACTTTTTGAGTGTTTGGCTTGAAACTGACTAAAGGTCGTAAAATAGCGCGCTCCAATACGTTTCTGCTAGCACGCTCACCTCTGAATGTGAGCCGTGGAATGAGAGAAATCAAATACTAAAAAAAGTTGACCAAAACTAGCCCGTTTCCCCCAGCGACCAAATACGATCCCTGTTGGGGAGTTGCCAATGAGGATGTGCCCTGGGCCTGGCACTGGAACGTGTCTGAAGCTGCGGCGCCTCGTGCAGTTTCCCCTCTTATAAGCAAACGAACACGACAAAACACCTTAATGTCTTCGAATAAGGTCCCACGGGCCATGGTAGACACCAAACATAAACAGGTCAATCGTATTAGGTTGTTGCATAAGTTCTTATACACGTGTTTGATCCTCTCCTATTTCGTTCGCATGGATGTTGGTATTACGTCATCACGTGTGCACGTGTACATTATACTCTTTCATTACACTAGCTATCACTCACCGAGCTTGCATTTGCAGTACACAATGTCGCACAATTTGCACTGTGACAAAACGTACCTGCGCCACTGTTTGGTTTTGCTCCACGATTTCGGCTGGAATGCAAAGGAAGCCCATACCAAGCTGGTGGATACATACGGTGAGGACGTCATCTCTTACATGACATGCAAGAATTGGTTCGCCAAATTCAAGAAAGGAGACTTTTCTCTCGAAGATGCTCCGAGGTCGGGTCGGCCGATGGAGTTGGATTTGGAAGTACTACGTTCCACCGTGGAGGAGGACCCGTACCTCACCACCAGAGAAATGGCGACCATGCTTAGCTATGATCATTCGACGGTTGCACGTGGACTAGAAAAGCTCGGCAAGGTAGCAAAGCTTGGTCGATGGGTCCCACATGAACTGTCCGCTTATGACCTCTCGAGGAGGGTGACCACCTGCACTTCTCTCCTCACTTTCCAAAAGAGGCTTCACTTTCTCAACTCGATGATCACTGGAGATGAGAAGTGGGTCCTCTACGATAACCCTGTGAGGAAGCGGCAGTGGGTCGACAAAGGAGAACAGCCAGAAGCCACCCCAAAGGCCGACCTTCACCCCAAAAAGGTTCTCCTGTCCTGTTGGTGGTCCAGAAGAGGCATGGAGTACTGGGAGCTGCTGGAGAAGGGACAGACGATTGACGCTTCCACATACGTGACCCAGCTGCGGAAATTGAAAGATCACGTCGACCGTACTCGTGGAAGGAATGCGGAAATCTACTTCCACCATGACAACGCCCGACCTCACACTGCAAAGGCGACCCAGGCCGAGCTGGAGAAGTACGGATGGCTGATGGTCGCCCACCCTCCCTACAGCCCTGACCTCGCTCCTTCTGGCTGTTCAGCCACCTGCAGCGCTATCTGGACGGAAAAAAGTTCGAAACAAAGGATCAGGTCAGAAAGGCACTCGACGACTTCTGGAAGGAAGGAATCGACAAGCTGCCTGAGCGCTGGCGTCGAGTAGTGGATGGTGATGATGCATACCTCTAATCTTCAGGTTGGTTCGCTATTGAGATATTTACGAAAAAAGTCGTGTATAAGAACTTATGCGACAACCTAATAATACAGTAATGTCACTTGCCCGCTTCAACAACTGGTGCAGAACGACTTTGGCACCGCGCCAAACGCAGCCGCACTGACACGCCCCACCGGTCCGCAATGATGAGGACTGTACGTACCCCTCTCGTATTTATATCTTTTTGGTCGCCCTGCTTTTCGGTTATTCATCTTTTTTTTAATACATCGAATGAAAAAAATTTGGTTTTTTTTCAGGATTCACGGTTTTATGGACGTGTGTGGTATTCATCACTGGTAAGACAAAGGGACGTCAACCAGTTAGCAGAGGTATCATTCAGATATACAGATTGGTGCTTCATGGGCATAGCAAGCTCGCGGTCGCGTTGTCGCTGACAGCAGCACAGATAGATTCGTGGCTATACAGGTCATATCACGGCGCCTAGAGAGGGCGTGTCCACAAGCTCAGTTGTAAGACGTGGACGAATGCGTTATCTTCAGGATGCTTTTGGTTCAGGGTACAATAATGGGATAGGAACCTAAATAGTGGGCGAACAAGAGAACACATACGGCACAAGGGAACCACAGGCGTATGCTGTCTGTTAGGATGGCCGTTGCCATAATTCTAAGTCCGTGGACACGCCCCTTCAGGTAGAGTGGTATGGGCTGCACATACGGATGTCACCTGCCCAGCGTTTCGCCACCGCTCGCGTGGCAGTTGTATTTCTGATCAGCTTCATTCAGATCCGCACACAAAATTGGTACTATGGGGTACACGACATGGAAATCGGAATCCGGAACAAATTCTCAAGATGAATCCTGTTCGATGGGGGTTCGAAGGGGACACTGAGCTCACTTCGGTAAATTTCTGAGTCGTTCAGCTGGTATGCTGCCCTTCAGTGTCCCATAGATTTTCAGTTTGGCAAACGGCAGTCTCTTGGATTGGGTCGAGAGATGAGACGTTTCGTCGGCGATTTGGTGAACGAGAACTACCTTCCTAACCAGGCCAAATACTACTCGAGTTCAGCTAACAGGTGTCAGATGACAATGCAGGTACTTGATTCACTTTGTTTCTCTGAAACCCTGAAATACTCATAATTTTGCTGTCTCTTTTCACCGAACGCGATTTATACTTGTCGCCGAGCGATTGCGTTACGGTTCCGTCACGGCTGCGTCGCGGTTGCGCCGCGGTTGGAAGACGACTGCTAAAGGTGATTTAAATGCTAAAGCGCTTACTAGTATTGACTGGACCTCCTGTGTTTCGGAACAAATCGCTCCTCAGTGAGAGGTGGCCATGTCATTTAGTGACTCGACAAAGTCAACTCATGCTGTGAGAGGCAGCAGACGAGCAGAGCACGTCAAGGTTGAACCTCACATCAGAATGGTCCCTTTCGAGCAAAATGGCGCTCCTTACTGTTGGCGGAGATTGACACATTTGTCAGAAGATGAGCAGAGCAAAAATGCTGAAATAGTACCTCGGCAAACGCATAAACTATTCGGGCGCTTCCTGAAACCGCAACGCATCCGCACGCGGCACTGTTACGCTCTGAATTTGTTGCGAATACAACGGCAATAAACGGATAAAGAGTCGCGCAGTCATATTCTTGTTATTTACCGCTATCAGCATTATGGACTTGGTACTCCACCACTTCTTTCAGGTAGCATTAGCCGGTTTCTACACTCCCACAGCTTGGGCAGATTGGAATAAGTCGCAGTTTGACTTCTGGAGTCCCGTACCGTATACGATCGATGATCCGATGTTGAGAATGTATTCCGTGAAGGATTGCCCTGTGTATGTTTCTCTGACTTGGGCCAAAGATGACATGAGTAGTGCTTTCGGCTCTCTTTTGGCTCTCGCTCAGACTTCGCGATGACGCGCGTTGACGCTCGACGACGCTGTGCGACGCACGACGTCTGGACGCTGATTTCGCACTCAAATGCTCGGTGCCTATCGATCCTTGTTTAGCATGGAAACCAATATCTGATGACACCCTGCCAGATCTGAAACTGCTTACCACGAACAACAAGGTGAGTTCCTTTTGGTAGTTGAGGGGGAAAGAGCTTTGAGCCAAGCCGAGCTGAAGCGCCTCCTGGCTTCTGTGAGCCTCATGTGAACACTATCGCAGTTGGAGAGTGCAGAACGGCAGAGAATAGATAGCTACGCGGTGTCAACCCCAGCTCCTTCTTCCGTTTTCTAAACAGCGACTTTAGCCCAAAATCAGATCCAATCACATCACCAAGAAAGCGCGTCTAGCTAGAAGGCAAAAAAATTAGGAGGAGTGCAGGGACGCAGAGTAACCTCTCCTGCGTTCGACTGGCTGACATCCTCTGCGTCTCTTCCCCGTCTCTACAGACAGTCGCCATAACTTCACTATAAAGGCTTTAATTCAAGGGCTTGTTGAACTACATCGCAAAAAACACAACCGTTGGTCCGACCACCCATCAGTAGTGTCCTGCAGAGATCTGCTCATAATATCATCGAGATGGTTCGGTGATTGATTCTCTGAGCATTATCCCTCTCCTACAACTCAGGGATATTTTCCCCTTCAAGGACCTGTACAAAATCTCCATACTACTGATATCCAACACCCACTTCTGCCGGTGGTTACAATGCCCGCCTTTTTCCAAGAAAGCTTGCTCATCCATTCGGTAAGCATTTTTTCTGCAACAATACGGCACACCATGCTGAACATCACACAGGAATTACAACAAAACACTGCCGGCGTGACATACACAGGCGGACGAGGGACCGCCCCCGAATGCAGAAAAGGTTGCAGCAGCAGCCTCGCATTGTCACCGACAATCGTTTCATTGTTTGGACTATACGATCTCCAATCCTTTCTGTTTCAGGAGAAAACCATCAGATCCGCTGCGCAGAATATGCTCCTTGCAGAAACATTATGGGAGGCGTGTGGCTGAAAAATCTGCTGGACTCTATCAGGAGCGCGATCAAAGGTGAAGGCCCAAGCGTCATCGGATATGCTTCGGTAAGTTCATAGGCCACCATGTATGTCACGACAATGTCATCCGCACAACTCAAATATTGTTTCACAAGTTAAGGGTTGATATGAAGTCGCTTCATTCACGGAGTGCGGATCCTGTGAGAACATTTTTCACTCTTTCTGACGAAAACATACGGATCTTGTTCGCTGTGATGCTGAGGCGTGTCAGGGGAGGGGATGGGTTGGGGCGGACTCCAGTCCGTTCTCACCAACTGTTAGAGCGGGTAAGCGGCAACAAATGATGGAAAAGCGGCTGGTGCCGCGCCAAACCCAGTCCCCTGACACACCAGCATTCGCAGCGGACAACATTGTGCCTTGTAGGTGTGAATATGTGTAAACCTTCTGTGGATGTCGTGAAGCAAGGAACGCTTTTCCCATAGATTCACTAGACCCAGAATGAGTAATATTCCCAGCCTGCATGAAATTCGCCACGAGGTGTCCTGGAAAAAGGCGCTTCGAGACATCGGTCACCCTTTAGTCTTCCCTCCTCCACCATTGTTGGAAATAGTTTGCTTCGAAGCACTCCTTAGGTTGGAGCCCTCAGGTGGAACAGGGAAGCCCTCATAAAGATCACATACTTTCTGAAACCCATCAGCCAACGTGTGCTCTCCATCCAGGCAACAAACTATCATCATCCTATCAAAAGGGCAGTCCACGCTAACCGTATGGGCGGGGCCATGGGAGCGGAGTTGTCGGGGCGGGAAATCACCCAACCATTGCGACTCCCTCATCGATCCTGCTCCGTGAAAGGAGGAAAGAGAAGGGGCATCAGTGAGTGGGACGTGGGTTTGCGATCGCCATAGTCAGCGCCTATCCCTTTGAATGCGGGTTCTATCTAATGGATGAATGACATTTGTCAGAGGAGATACAGTTTTACTCGCTGCGACTGAAAGGGCGTGTCCGGGGGTGGGTTTTCCGCGCCGCCAGCTCGTTCTGCGCCAGTTGTTGAAGCGCGTGAGCGGCAACAATTTATGAAAAACGAGTGAATGGGAGAGTATAAAGCCGAAAAAAGAAGAAAAACCGGGCTGTCACTGCTCTAAACCCATGTCCCTTGACACGGGATGACTCATCTGCAGTGACCATATTCGGACCATATTCGTAATGCGGGTCACAGCATCAGCCAGGTGTTGATTCCAACATATGATGTAGGGTATGGGAGAGGAACATTATTGGTGGATTACAAGAGCTGTCAGCTGCTGATAAGATTCGAGGGATGTTATAAGGGTATGGTCACTGATTGTGAGTCCATCACGCGAGTCACAGCAACAGGAGGTTGTAGGGCTTAGGAAAGGAACACTAGGTTGGTGACAAAAACTGCCAGCGGCGTACTCTGCCGCAAAGTATGACCGCAGCCTTCATGACCCGGACATGACTAGCGTTGCGAGTGGCGTTGTGTGCATGTAGTTGGCATCAGGACCTAATTGCTTGAACGTGCAAGTGCTAAGATACATATGTCGAGTAACTAAGCAAATAAAATACTTCGACTGAAGTTCCTAGACCATAGACTGAATTTCGGATACCTAACGCTTAAAGACACAATGGTACGCCCTCAAAACACTATTGAGGGTGTATAAGACTATCAGCCCCCAGCTGTCGATGTGTCGTGGTCCCCCGCTCAAACATGTCCAGGAATGGAGATACAGGACCGTGAAACACGCTAATTCCTCCATGCTCCGCCTTATACCTTTTTGCGGCGCAGATTCCCGTCCTTCATAACATCCGTCGTAAGCGCGCGTGTCGCGTGCGGCTCCTTGGCACTTTGCAAGTCGTTGATTGCGCTCTCAAATACGAGTAAAACGCAATTTCCTGATGCGGATAACATTGGAGGTGCTACAAAATAAGAACAGAAGATGATGACGAGGGTCAGAACTTAAAAGCAACTGTGCCACTTCTGCAACATCCCTCGGAGGCCGAGCATTCCCACAAAACATGAAGAATAAAAACAGCGCAAGCGTCCCACTCGTTTGTGTTTTTAAGATAGTTCTTGTGATTTTGGTGACGGATGTTCGCGCACGGATCAGTAGGTATTATACAGGCGATTTTTAACTAATTTGCCTTTCCTTGATTTTTTCATTTTTGTTTTGTTTACATTTACATCGTTGTGCTTCATTTCTAGCCTGTGTCATCTTCATCTCCTTGTACATGGATTTTGAAGCATGAGCAACACCTAAAATTTTATTCGCATCAGGAAATTGCGTTTTTGTTATTAACTAACGG